AGATCCCAAACTCGAAAAGATTGGCAAATGGATGTGTATTTAAATATTCTACATTAAAATAAAATGTGTAAGATACGAATATGATTTTAGTTGGCTCTTTTTAAGTGACTTTTTCAATTTATCCACCAGCCACCATACCAATTGCATCAACTAAAAGTGCTTTTGCTACTGTCTTACGTTCAGTTCTGGCAGCACATTTCAAGAGAAGCACTGATGAACTTGAAGGCATTCCAAGGAAAGTGATGGAGATGGAGAAGGCTCTATGGCTCAAGGGCCCTGATGGTGTCCAAAAACTCTGCTGGGTTGTCAGGCTAGAGGATATGCCGACTCAGAGAGAAGAGGGTCCTGCCTCTGTCTCCTACTCTTTACCTATTCATTCATGTAGCTTTTCTCTTTCCTCTCAAAGAATCACCCTTTCTGCTCACACTCTAGATCAGGGGTCCCCAGCCCTCAGGAGGTCCACAGACTGTTAGGAACTGGGCCACACGGCAGGAGGTGAGCAATGGGAGAGCGAGGGAAGCTTCATCTGTATTTGCAGCCACTCCCCAGCACTAGCATTACTGCCTCAGCTCCATCTCAGATCATCAGGCATTAGATTTTCATAGGAGCCCCGGTCCCGGGTGCCAAAAAGGTTGGGGACCACTGCGGTAGATTGTAAACTCAAAGAAAGTGAAATAGCCACTACACATGCCCTATGGATGGACTTGCACACTGCCTTTAATTTTAGGCCATAGGTTTCCAACAGAGAAAAATGCAATTATTTGTGTTTGAATCTACACTTTCCCTAGCCCAACCTCTTCTGTGCTTTTAGAGCAAGATCAAGGTCAACAGGGAGAGGATCTTTCTAACTGATTGTAAACTCAAAGAAAGTAAAATACCCACTATAAATGCCCTATGGATGGACTTGCACACTGCCTTTAATTTTAGGCCATAGGTTTCCAACAGAGAAAAATGCAATTATTTGTGTTTGAATCTACACTTTCCCTAGCCCAACCTCTTCTGTGCTTTTAGAGCAAGATCAAGGTCAACAGGGAGAGGATCTTTCTAACTGATGATACCAGGTGACTGACAAAGGAAGTAGTATTTACTTATTATATGCTAACTACTACATTCACAACTTTTAAATATATTATCTTTTAATTCTCATCAACTTTGAGAGGTTCTTACCAGTGTCCCCATTTACACAATCGAAAAATGGAAAAACGAAGAGAGGGTGGTTTATTTTTTATACATTCAGTTACTCATTTGGAATGAGAGCCAGGATGCATACCCACACCAGATGCTGCACTGTTTGCAGAACTGTGAAGAGTGAGGTAGGTTTTCTGCTATGTGTGGTATACATGTGTGTGTGGAGAGAGAGAGGGTGGGAAGCCAGGAAGATGTGGCTGAACTGGAATGGCACATCTGTCCACAGCTGGGGATATGGATATGCACAGGAATGAAGAGGCAGGAAAGGGACAAGTCAGTGCCAGTCGTGAGAAAAGAGAAATAGCTATTTAGAGATGTTTTGAGGTCAGAGCCCAAGAGCTTATGTGGTAGCCTGGAAGGGCAGTGGTTACCAGAAAAGCAGGGTCAACCACAAGCCAAGAGGGACCTGGCCAGGGTTTGAACAGAGAAGACCTTTCCCACAGGCCAAAAGGGTGAGGAAGAGAGGAAGTAGCTGGGTCTCGAGGGCAGAAAGTGAGTGAGCTGGACTGATACCCACCCACGGGAAGGGGCACGCAGAAGAGGGCCTGTCTGTCTGTAGGTCGGAGTGGGTGTCTGACAGAGTCTCTTTAAAGAGCTAAGCTGTAGGCAAACCTGCTGTGGACTGGACACTGCTGGGCCGTGCTGATAACCCAGCTTTACACACATGGTTCCCCTAAGGCCAGATTCTTAAAGTGGGCTGAATAGGAAATCCTGGGGATAGAACCCGGATAGCTGAGTTTTAAAAATTTCTGCAGGTGATTCTGATACAAGCTCAAGTTTGAGAAATGTTAGTCTATCCTTGGGCTGAACCAAAGGCTTTCATCCCAATTCAGGAAACATTTACTAGGTGCCCAGGAGAACAAAGATGAACATCCCCAGGCCAAGAAACTCAGAGTGAAGGGAGAAAAGTGGATGAATAAATAAAAATGAGTATAATAGGAGATAGGCTTATGAATGTAGAATTATGGGAACACAGTGGAAGGGCCTTCAACCCTGAAGAAGTCTGAAAGATTTCCTGGAGGAGGTACTTATGAGCTGAGTCCTACACCAGCTACAAAGAGAAAGAGAAACCCATAGGGCTATAGTCTGTCTAAAAGATATCTCTTCTTTTTCCCTTGAGAGGCTGATGCTGCTAAGAGGGAGAGCAGTCTCCGTCCACTGTGGGAAATTTGGAGATGTTCCATAGATACCATAGGGGAGAGCAAGTCTGAAGACTTGAGCAGGAAAAACTGGTGAACAACATCAAAACCATCAATCCACTTGTCATCACTGTCATGAAAATTAAGAAAATCTGTTTCTGCCTAACTAGATGCCAGCCGCACCTGTACAGTATAATTTAAAATGTGAGAAAATAAAGGCCCATCCAGTGGTGTTCTGGTAAACAATTACGACCAGCTCTCCAGGGGGAAAAATCCCTAATTTCTAGCGTTTGACAGTTTCCATGGTGGAATACTTCCGCCATGGCCAATTTCAAGCTACCAATCTGACTGAATTTGTCACTGAATATCGAGTTGGGATATTGGTTTTATAAGTTGCTGCACACCACTGGGCTTATCACAGGTCTCTAAAATCCTATTTCATTTCCAAGGATTCCTGGGAAAAGCCGAGGCATTCTTGAAGTGTGTGTGTGGGGGTGGGGAGGGATGGTAGCAGGGGACAATGACATGAGCCAAAACTAACATTGCCTAATAGATTAATGCACAAACATATAAGAAGTCTAGGGGAAAAGTTCAAACATCTGAGAAAGAAATAAAATTGGTAAACTTAACGGTAACCAATCTGTGAATCCAAGAAAAGTTTCTGAATAAATGTTAATATTTTCTGATCTAACTTCTTAACCCATAAAAGTGACCTTTACATTAAAAAGACAATTTATTTAGTTTGTAACCTTATCTCCCTCCCACAAAAATTTTACATGGCATGCATTCACTCCAGTTACGCATCAAGGTCACAGTTAGCATCAAAGGCTAAAGAAAGACAAATCACTGGGGTACTCTTTTCATCACCCCTTTCATCAAGTAATGAGATCACAGATATATGGTGAGAGTGGCATCTGTACTGTTCTTTTAGACACTGGTTCCTAAAATTGACTGTGCATCAAAATCCCATGGAGAGCTTGTGGAAACAGAGATGACTGGAGTTTCTGATTCAGTCGGTCCAGGTGGGGCCTAAAAACTTGCATTTATAACAACTTCCCAGGTGATGCTGATGCTGCTGGTCCTGGAACCACACTTTGAGAACGACTTTCTTAGATGATCTTGGATTACTGCCATCAAGTCATCTTTTTCATTGCCTGCCAATTGATTCCCCACATGCACCTGTTTTTGGTGCAGCCATGCATGGCTTGCTGTTACAGCCGGCTGTTACAGAGCAAACTGAGTGTTAAGGCATGGAGGCTGTTTTAATGGAGTCCTCAAGCACCTCGTTAATGTGGTGGGCTGGATGAACTGCACTGCCCCCATCTTAATAGTTGAAGAAGTTTAGGGTCCTAAGTGGGTATATGACCTGCTGTGTTGGACTGTGCAATTCAGACCGAGTCTCACTTTCTTTGCATCCCATTTCCAGTTAGGGCATGAAGACTCACTGGGATCAAGGTCAGGCAGGAGGAACTGATGGAGCCTGATCACAAACTGGGTCATCATCTGATTCCTTACTTTCCTTACTACTTACGCCCTCAGGACTCTTGGCCCTGACCCTAACCCTCCCTGGATGCTATGTTTTTGGAATGCTTGTTTCTGATTGCTACAGTTTTTCTTTGTACTCTGCTGCTGTCACACTTGCAAGCAGTTGCTGAGTAATGGTGCCCTTGGGGCGCCCCACCCCAGAAACCAGATGAGGGACTCGCCTCCAGGCTGCAGTTCCCAAGAGTGCCGAGGGCACGGCGAGCACATGCTGTCCAGTGGATCCCGTTATCCACACCCCTCACAAAGAGCTGCATCCACCTCAGTCTTACTTTGGCACAGAGACCCAGGTTTGTCAGGGGCCCCTTAGAGCAAAACCACTCCTGTGTTCCTCCAGGGCCTACTCGAGAGCATTCAGGAATCAGTCCTCTATGCTCAAATAGCTTCTCCCTTTACATCCAGGATGCTGGGTGGACAAGAGAGGAGCCTAAAAAGTCCATGCTTCCATAGTTGCAGAAATGCCTTTAAAGTACACACCAGAGTCTGAGAAATAAATCGGTTCTTCCAAAGTCCTAGAAGAAAGTGGCTTGAGCAATTCCTCTGCCCACTGTAATTTGGTGGCCTCAAGGGTCAACATTTCTCAAAGACATCCTTCCGCACTTAATGTGTAACATTGGGCAAGGGGCCTAACCTCTCTGTGCCTCAGTTTCCTCATCTGTAAAATAGGAGCCATCGCGGTACCTAGCACATAGGCTTATTGTGGAGATTAAGCGAGCACACGTGCATAAATGTCTTCGGAGGATCTCTGGCAGAGGAAGCCATAGGGTCTAGCTCCAATAACGATGCTGCTTTTATTATTACAGAGGCCACAAACTGTGTGTTTGCCTCATTTATGTCACTTAGAGTTTTCAGTTATAGGCAAATTAATGAAAGAAGAATCTTTTACACCAAAGGGTCTGATGCCACGTGTTTTTCCTACAGAAAGGGATACATGGGGCCCATTCCCCAACTGAAGGCTGGAAAATGAGGGGCATGAAAGGACGAATGGGGTCCTTGTGGGATCTACCCAGGTCAAGCTGCCTTTCAGAGGAAAGCCACAGCTGAACAGCAGCCACAGGCAGATCCAGCAAGTGAACAAAACAGTCACCATCTGAACAACAAAAAAAATGCCCCTGCCAATCCCACACTTACTTCCAGGACCGTCCATTGTTCGACAACAATAGCATCATAGCCCTGCATGGTTTTGCTATCTTCTGGGGAAACAGCTTCAAAGATGAATACTCCATCTGTCAAGCTGCGTAAGGAATCTGTGAAAAAAGAGAAAGACGGGGAGGGAGGGGAGTATTCTGTAAAACGTCTGTGGCAGAAGCCTTACAAGCAGCAAAAATTTTCGCTGCATTCATTAATAATCTCAATCAGAACATCTTTTCAGCATGTTAATTAAAGAAGGCACACACAGCCATAGAGTCTAGCCCCATCAGAATGAATGAGACTAATTTACCTCGCAGTTCTGAATAATATCCTTGATTTTATGAGCCCAAATTTCATTGTTAGCAATCATCATTTGATTTCATGCGTTTACCTTCCTTTTCACGCTCCAACGTCAGGATGCACTGGGGAGAACTTATTCACGGTAAAACACAGCCATTTAGAGACAGTTTTTGGAAGAAAACTATATTTAGGTTAAAAGATTTTTTTTTAAAGGGGGATAGATATAACACACCAGATCTGAGCTTGTCAGACTCATTCTAGATGCACTGATTCTTGAAAGTTCACATGGTGTGGGCTGTTGTACAGACAACACTTTAGGCAGCTCTTGTCAAGAGGTGCAATTTGGGGGAAGGGAGAGTTTTCCCAAATGATTTACCACTGAAAACGTTTCCTTGGGCATTGCATTAGTCAATGTACCAGGTTCTGAGTTCTGTACCATTCGACAAATATACACTACACCTACAGCATGATTCAAGACTGTCTGGGCAACAAGGGTGTAAAGAAAATTACAACAGGGTCCCTATTCCTGCAGAAGACAAAAGGGAGGAGCCTTCAGCCCCCTTTTTTGTTAATGGCTCCTGATGCCCTAAATTCATTTAGATTAGAGATTGTGGAAAAGAGGACTGGATTTAGAAGCAAGTGGTTTGGGTCCATGCTTTATCACAAGAAGTGATGTTGACCCCTTTCAAGGACTTGGTCCCCCATCTGTGAAATGGGATGGTAGAGAGAGAACTGCTCCTAGTCCCTATTCTACAAATCACTGCTCGATCGAACTGTAATGGACTGAATTGTGTTTCCCCCAAATCAGATGTAGAAGCTTTAATCTCCAAAGAGATTGTATTTGAAAATAGGATCTTTAGAGAAATAATTAAAGTTAAATGAGGTCATAGGGGCAGGCTCTAATCTGTTAGGTCTGATGTCTTATAAGAAGAGGAAGAGACACCAGACTCTACCCCACCCCCTCCTTGCACAGAATAAAGACCATATGAGGACACTGAGAGAAGGTAGCTAGCTAGCTGTCTGCAAATCAGGAAGAGAGGTCTCACCAGAAACCAAATTTGCCAGCTCCTTGATCATGAACTTCTAGCTTCCTGAATTAAGAGAAAATAAATATCTATTGTTTAAGCTCCCCCACTGGTAGTATTTTGTCATGGCAATACACATAAAAATGTGTTATCAAACTGCCTTAGCAAAAGTACTAAGCTTGCCTCTCTCATCTGCTCTGCTACAAAGCTTCCTCCAAGTGTCTGTCCAATGCCTTCCTAAGAGACATTGTACAAAGGTGACCAGGGAAGAACAGAGCTGCTCTTCAGTGGAACCACATTACAAGTATTTTGAGGTCCAAGATGAGCATGGACCACAGTTCAGCACAGTTTGAAAGTCTGGTCCAGCTGGAGCCCCTGCTGCAGTAGGGATGCCCTACAGAACCCTCTGCATAAAGCTTTCCCGAGTCCTGACCTGAAGATGCTTGGGACCATAAGATATGCAATGATTCCTCTGGGATTATATCAGGGCAGCACAAATTCATCCTCAAGGCTTCTATGAAAATGTGTTATATACAATTTCCAAAGTCTCTACCTATAGATCTCCTCAATGGAAAACCTCCAAGCCCTTTAAATGCGCCTACCATGCGTTTTAAGTATTAAGAGTGCCCCATTTGACATAAAAAATATGATAGTATTTCGCCTGCCAACAGCACTGTACAGCAGCGTTGAGGTCAAGAAGAAGGGAAAAGACACTGCAGCCCATTCAGACTTTCTTTCTCACTCTCTGCTTGGCTGCCTCTCCTTCCTCCCTAATCACAGGCCTGGGAGGAGGGCTGTGTGGTCAATAGGGAGAGGTATGCCTGGGCTTGAGGGTGTGAAGTAGAAACAAACCTGGCCCTTATTCCCCAGCTGCCTCATCCAGTGTCTGCCTTTCAGCTCCTCAGCCCTCTGCTCTGTTATCCTGAATCCAGAACACTGATTCACTCATTTAACTCCAAAGCAAGCTCAGAATGGCTGTCAAAATTTGGTCATCTGCAACAGCAAAAAAGTCAATGAACCACAGAGAGCAGACAGCTGGGCTTTTAAAGAGGCCCTTGTTTTGAATGCCTTGTCCACTCCCGTCTCCTCATTGCCTTCCTGGCTCAGCCTCACTGTAATGTGCACCGAGCTGGGTATAAATAGGTCTATCTCAGAGTGAAGGCTCCCAATATAAAAGGTTAAATCGCCCTCCATCTATGGAAAACACTCCATTATCACTGCATTTTTTATAAAAGTAAAGCAGCTTCCCTACTGTGCACAGAAAGCTATTTTTTCTGGTATTGTATAAATATTTGATGCCGGTCTTTTGGCAAAAGGCCACCTTAACACTCCAAGCTTATGATTTACAAGAAGGATGTGGGAAAAGGAGATTTGCCCTATTATCCCAAGAGGTAAATTCTATGAGGCAACTGTTCTTCCCCTGCAGCCTCTGAGACATTAACACTCCGTCTGGCAAGCTAACCTCCAGGCTCAACCTAGGTGCTATTCTTGCCCAAAGTCTAGCCTGAAACATGCAAACCATGACAAGTGGTCAGTGCATGTGGTCTAGAAAAAAATGTTACTGTGCTCCTCTTAACCAGCTAGATTGGACTAAATTGTCCACACTGGGATAGCTGGCATGACAGATTTCCTTGGCTCTCTGAAAGCCCCTTCTCCCCATCAGACACCACATGGTGCTCAAGGCACCAACCTTGGTTCCTGGAATGGCACGTGCCAACTGCATGGCTGTAACTGCACCTGCTGTCATACTGACCTGTAACCCCACTGCAAATGTAATCACCGTTCAACCAATCCCGGCTGATGGTGCCATGTCACTTTCCAATCACCCTGCAGCTCATCTGCTGACATTATCAAAAGATGCTTTCCCCATATTCTCAAGCCCTCGCTGCTGCTCTCGGCCTTCCTTCCTTCCTGAATTCTCAAATGGAACTAATGAATAATCTAGGGGAGATATTACTTTACTCCGGTTACAGTAAGGGTTAGCCTACAAGTTCAGTGCCATGTAACTGACTAGACAGGGAAGAAACGCTCTGATTCAGTGCCTGCTGGATGTGAGGCACTCGGCCAGGCACAGCTCATGGTTTCTCAGTGAATCCTCCCCAAGTTTAGCACATCCTCTTAGTGGGTGAGAAAATGGAGGCTAAAGAAGTTAAATCATTTGTCCATGTTAAAATGGAATGTAAGGGCCTTTTAGATCTCAAATGTGGTTTGTCTGATTCCAAGGCCTGTGCTCTTTCAGCAAGTAACAGATATTTATTGAGCTACCATGATGATGTGTCAGGTGCTGCCACCTGAGCTGAGGTAGGTGATGAACAGCTTAGGTCCCTAGCCTTGCGGAGCAGGTGCTTTCTGACCATTGCACCACACTCCCTGCCTTGCTGTTTTGGGTGGCATCTCAGTTGGGTCACAATGAGATGGCCTTAGGGCTTCTGTTTGAGGACAAATCTGTAGATGCCATGCCTTTCTACATGGGATTAAAAAAAACAAAAAATATACTTGTACATGGATTAAGTTTTATGTATGTATGTAAATATATACATATGCATGTATATATATCAACACAAGGGATATTGCACAGCAATGAAAAAAAAATGATCTGCAATTACATGTAAAAATGTGGATGACTCTCACAAATATAATGAGTGAAAGAAGCCAAAGACAACAAGGGCATACTCCATTTGTATCAAGTTCAAAACTGCAAATCAAAACCACCATGAGATATCACCTCACACCTATTAGAATGGCTGTCATCAAAAAAGAGAAGATATAACGAGTGTTGGGAGGTTGTGAAGCAAAGAAAACCCTTGTGCACTGTTGGTGGGAATGTAAATTGATGCAGTCATTATTGAAAACAGTATGAAGTTTCCTCAAAAAATAAATTGAACGACCATATGACCCAGCAATTCTACTTCTGGATGTGTATCCAAAGGAAATGAAATCACTTTCCCAAAGAGGTTTCTGCATGCTCACGTTCACTGAAGCATTTTTCACAATAGCCAAAACATGGAAATAGCCTAAATATCCACTGATGGAGATGAATGGATAAAGAAAATGTAATACACACAATGGAATATTATTCAGCCATAACAAAGAAGGAAATTCTGCCATTTGTGACAATATGGATGGACCGTGGGGGCATTATGCTGAGTGAAATAAGTCAGACAAAGAAAGACAAATACTGTATGACCTCACATGTAGAATCTAAAGACAAAGAATAGATTGGTGGTTGCCAGAGCTGGGGGAGGGGGGAGTTGGGGGGGGTGGGAAATGGGTGAAAATGATCAAAGGTACCAACTTCCAGTTATAAAAGGAGTTACTTCTGGGGATGTCACGCACAGTATGGTGACTATAGTTAACAATATTGTATTATGTATTAGAAAGTTGCTAAGATTTTAAAAACTCTCATCACAAGAAAAAAATTTGTAGCCATGTTTGGTGATGAATGTTAACTAAACTTATTGTGGTAATCATTTCACAATATATACATATATGACATCATTATATTGCATAACTTAAACTAATACAATATGTCAACTACATCTATGAAACTGGAAAAAAAATTAAGTTCAAAACTAATCTATGGTGTTTCACGTCAGGACTGTGGTCACCCCTGGGGAACAGGGACTGTGATGGGCATGAGGGGGGCTTCTAAGGAAGCTTGTATGTTGTATTTCTCGATCTGGGTGCTGGTACATGGATGTGCTCACCTTACGAAAATCCACTGAGCTATATCCTTATCATCTGTACAGATTTCTATACATGTGCTATACTGCAATAATAAGCTTATTTAAAGATGCTATAGATACGAGAGAAAGTGCATGTAACGGCATACATGAAATCTGCTCCCTGGAAGCCATGCCTGTTATCAGGAGACCAAACATCCTTGGAGACAGCAGCGTTCCACGGGTGCGGCTGACAGAAACACCTCAATCTCCTTCTCTAACCATTCTCCCCACCCTCAGCTCTTTGTTTCCCAAATCTGTAAGTTCTTGGTGATGCACACCCCAACATCAGCTTCTCCCCTCCTCACCATCAACACTACTAAGTGTCATCCAGAAACCTTTGTTGATCACCTTCTGTATACAGGGCACAGTGTACAGGCACTGGGATGCAAAGAGGTACAGGACACAAGACCTGCCCAAGGGTTTGCAACTATGTCTGTATAAAATATGTGTCTCTACATGTATTTTATTTGAACTATGCAGGTTTTAACATGTGTGTTTTGCAAATATACGATAATATAGGTTATGCCAGGCATCAGAAAAGGTGTATAAATACCAAATGATATTTGGTTTTAGATGTGGCTGGGAAATCGGGGAGAGTGTCCAGAAAGACAATCTTTTAAAAGGATAGGAATGGAGAGACCTCTAGGTTTAATGTGTCTCCCAATGTGACCCAACATGTAGAACACAACATCTGGAATGTATTCTAGTCATAAGTGCTTAATTTACCAAGCCTTAGAACTAAATTCCAGTATACAGGAAATAGAGGCTAGAGAAATAAGATAAATGACATCATAAGGCGCTGAGCAGATAAATCCAGAATGCAGGACGTTCTGCAGGATAAGAGGCTAAGTTTATTTCAGACAGGCAGGGTCATAAGAAATGACTCTTCTAGGTAAAAGAGAAGTGAGGACATGGTCACTATTTGCAGTACATGTGGCTGGATTGGATTCTGGTTTGGACATTTTTCTGCAAAGGGCATTTTGGAAGCAATTGAAGACATTTCAATATGGGCTGAATAAAGATGATCCTGCCAGAAGAGGAAAGACTGCTGGGCTAGGAGACTAGGAGAGGGCAGGGAAGGGGGAAGGGGCGGGCCAGGACAGGGCCAAGGTAGTAGAGTGAGGGCAGAGTGAGGCAGGACAAGGAGAGAGCAGGAAAAAAAAAAAAGGAGAAATACAGAGTGAAGACAGGGCCAGGCGGACAAAGGGAGGGAGAGGGAAGGGCAAGGAGAGCTGGTGGTGGCAGCAGCAGCACCGATGGCCCGTGATGGCAGCAGAGACCCTTCTTGCTTGGAAGCCCTTGGTGAGAAATCAGGTTCCCCAATGGGTCATTAGATGATGGGCAGCCAGCTCCACCTCTGCCTGAGCCCTGGTTCCTGGTACCTGCCCCACTGCTCATCTGCAGCCAGCTCAGCAGCGGGTCTCCCCTCCCAGCCTTTCCCACCCTCTAGAAGAGTGGATTCTGGCCTCTGTCGCGCTGGCTGGAGTGTCCTTGTGGGCCTGTCCGCTCTGCTGTCTGACCAGCCCCGGGGCTCATCCATACTGCTGGCTGACCACTCAGGTCCTGCTACTTCCCTAAGGGTGACCTGGAGCTCCCTTCCCTCCCTGCTGGGGGCCTCAGCTTCTCACCCTCATGGCCAACTCTTTTCTCTCCACTCCGTTTTCCCTGCTTACACCCTTCCTTCTTCCTACCACTTCCTTAACACTTACCGGCTGGTAACCTTGGCAATGATTTGATTGCTCTGTGCCTCAGTTTCCACAGCTGTAACGCAGGGATAACAAAAGTACCTATTCCACTGCATTATGGGGATTAAATGAGTTGCTATGTTTGAATTGCTTAGATTAGCAACAGCACATAGTAACTGCTAGGTGGCCTTTATCATAATCGTATTTTCTGTTCACCTACGCTTTAGCTTGCCAGGGCCTCAGGGCACAGCCTCCCTCATCCCAGACACCTGGTCATTGTAAGCAAAGGAGCCCTGGAGACTATGAACAGAAGCCCAACTCAAGGACTATGCAAGTCCTTCCATGTCCTGCAGAGTAAAGACTTTAAAAAAAAGGAAGCTGGATAATTTAGGCTAAAACATCACCCTGTTTATGGGACAAAGTTCTCATGAGATTTATGACTCTGTGGAAAATATTTTGGAGTACAAATATCCATTTAAGAGTTAAGACTGGTGCTTTTCCAGATGGCAAACAGCTTAAAGATGTGCTTCTAGTTCTGCCAGGTAAGAACAACTAATCATCTTCTTAGAAACAGGTTCCTTTTACAATACGATTAGCTTGCCTTTTTTTTTTTTTTAATTCTGGGAAAAGAACATATGCATATTTAATCCCTGGCCAATGGAAACCCTGGGCTTTTCCAGAGCAGAAACGCCCTAACCCACTAAGCAAGAGTCCCAAGTCATACTTCCCCTCCCGTCAGAAATACACAGGGTGAAATCGTGTTTGGATTTTGAGTGGGTTGAAATTAATTCTGTTCTGAGGATTCTGAGTGGGTTGAAATTAATTTTGTTCTGAGAATCCCTGAGACAGAGACGTGCAGCTGCGGTGGAGCTCTCGCATGGGCAGCCCTGCTGTGGCGATGTCACAGGCTCAGCGCAGCACTTCACAGTTACACTTGCCAGGGGAAATTTCACGTTCTGTCTTTGAGGCAGGAAGGCTGGATTTAAGGCAGCTAAAGCCAAGGGAGGCTATAACAGCATTTCAAACACGCGAGTCAAATCTGAAGGAAAAACTGTATAAATTATCTGTGTTTTTAGAATCCAGGTCGGAGAATGGGTAAGGAGAAGTGGAGGAGATTAATTCAGCCTTGACTGCTAAAGTACAATGGCTAGAGAGACAAGGAATGGCACTGTGAACTTTCGAAGTGACCTCTCTTGGGGTTCAGCTTGCCCCTGACGTGCTTGGGCAGCAGGGCCAAAGAGAAAACTTCCCTTTTGACACCCCAATTCATCTAAGGGGGGAAAAATGACCAGTGGCTGCCTGAACAGCTGCTACCTCCAGCGCCTCCCTGCACACCTTTGAGAAGTTCATATACCTAACCATCTGTTTCCCAGGGAGGAAGTTAAAACTGTGCATGGCCTCAGAGAGCCTCCATGGGCACCAAGAGGAGATAAAAGGAGCCAATGTTGTCATAGTCCAAGATGGGAGACTGAGCGTCCCTGCAGGACGCAGGACCTCCCCAAATGCTGATGAATAAGGGCCGTGAACATTTTCCCCAAGCCGATGCCACTGATATTTTATGGAGCATCTCAGAACAGATCATGACATTAACTAGCTTCAGGGAGCTTTGCAAGCATCCAGGGAAGGCCTCCGTGTATAGAGACAGGGGTTACCCACCTTGCTGCCAGAGAACCAAACTGACTTTCCATTAGTTGTATTAATGAAATGTATACCCTAGAACTGCACTGTCCAACACACTAGCCATTAGCTACAGATAGTAATTTAGATTTAAATAAATGAAAACTAAGTCAATTTAAAAATTCAATTCCTCAGTCGCCCTAGCCACATTTCAACCGGTCAGTAGCCATGGGCGGCTACCACATTGGACAGAGCAGATATAGAACTCCCGTCATCACAGAAAGTTCTGTTGGACAGTGCGGCCCGAGATGAATTCTTAATGAGCCAGTTACCTTTCTTATGCCATTCATCCATTCCACAAGTGGTTGTGGCCCCACTACACCATACAATGCCTGCTGCTGCTATATTAACACAGTAACATTAGATAGCAATATTTAGATAGTAACAAGGGACTTGCTAAATCCAAAATTTAGACCTGTCTGTGCTGTATAATATTCTAAGGCTTTGGATGATTTATAGAATGTACCTGCAGAATTAAGACCAATGTGTCATTCCGAGGATTGCAAATAATGTGGGGTCCAAACTCTGTTCCTGACTCTGTCAATCCTTGGAGAGAAAACTGCTCAATAACCAAGACACTGCACTGTTGATGTGATGCTTTCCTGCCAGGTTTTGCTGGGATCAACACATTTAGTGTTATGTTTCTCTTGCCCAGGAATTCTGCAGACCGGTAGCCCTCAGGAGCCACACACGCTGGCGTGTTGTCCCCACTCCCCAGATTGCCTCCCAGCTTTGATGAACCCTAGTGACTTAAGTTGCCTTCGTGTCAACCTGAAAACCCTTTCTTTGCTTGACACGTTTCCCCACTTCGGGCAAAGTTTCTCTCTGCCTTCAAAAAGCTGACAGCAAGAGTGCTACTCCATGCAGCAAACCCTCAGAGATAACCCGTTACTGGGAGCGAGTACTGGGTGCCATGAGCCCCAGGAACGATGTGTGTCCCCACGGAGCTCGCAGTAACCAGGGTGTTCAATTCACTTCTCTGCTGTTAATTTCAAGGTGCTGCTACTGCTACTTCAAACTGTAATAGTGTCTACAAACAATTTGCACTTTCGGAGAGGCATGATCCCAGGGGGTAATTAACAAAACCGGGGAATAACCTTTATAAAAGCAACACAGATTGACGCCACCACCGATGAAACAGAGTCATTCCTTTTTCTCTGTCATTTTAGAAGTTACCTGGCTGACTCCTAGACAGGTTTAGAGAGCATGGGGTATGGGCTTTGTGGAAAATTCCTCAAGATGTGTTAATTAGAAATCGAATACAGCATGTTTATTAGCTGCAGAGCCTTCTGAAAGAAGCCTGCTCCAGAGATGGGCTAAGATGACAAGAACGAGAAGTCGAATTCGTTAGGGCCACCCAAGGGCTGTGGATTCCATACCATTGACCATGCCAAGGTAGAAGACTGCATTCACCAGCACGCCTCCTTTCCGGAAGTGGTCGCTCATGTGCTCCAGCCAGTTGGCATCCAAGCTGCTCACCGTCTGGCCGTTCGTGGAGACCCGAAGAGGGATGGTGACGGGATAGTATTGCCGGCACTCCTGATGGCTCTTCGGTTTGTTGAAAAGGGTGAAGATTTCCATTTCTGTTGGGATTTGTAAAGCAGGTAGGGAGAGCAGAGTTCAGACAATAATAAAGAGCTGCCTTAGCGGATCTAGTGGAATCTCTTAGGGGCCTGAAGAATTGATATCAAAGGTAAAAATCTCTATGAGGCTGCACTATTGCCAAATAATAAAACCTGATTCCAAGTAGTAAGTTAGGGTACCTTAGAAGTGACATGGACCTCAAAGGTTGAATTTCAGGCTGGGCACTTAGGTTTTGAATCTGGCATATAATGAGGAGCTGTTATTTGAGATTAATTTGTATAGTTCAGTGTTTGAGAGAAGGACAGAGGAAACATTTCTAGAAATTTATACAAAGGCATTTCGAAAGAAAAAGCAGACATACTTGGGCAAGAATTGGTCTTAAAAAAATAGTAAACGTCCACAGGCACATAAAAGCAAAAATACTGCTGTAATTCCAGGAACCTTGTACACTCCTGAATTCACTATTTATAAACTGCAGTGGTGTTTCCTTGGGCTGAACCCATGATATTTAATCAAGTACGTCAAAAATAGATCATTGATATATAAAAATAAATATGTTCCTGTAAACGAGGGTTCCTGTCCAGAGTGGTAGGTCTCTTTAGCCAGGCAAGCAGGCACGGGGAGTGAGGCCCTGAACTTTCTGTTCCTTCATTTATAGCTCAGTTCTTCAAAAATCAATACTTGCTACCACCCAGCGGCTGACCCATGCCTGCGGTACGTGCTGCTGGCCATGAGTGAGCAGTATCGGCCTCTGGGAGCAAATACCTGGGATTTCAATCTGAGTATGAAGGTCTCCTTTTGTGTGACTCCTTTAGTCAAGCAATCAGAGTTCGCCCAGCTTAAACGGCTCTGCTTACACAGAGTAGTCAGAAGTACGCTTTGGTTTCTAAAAATATCTACTTGAATCATAAGACAATCTCCACCCTTCTTTCAAAGAAATAGTTTAAAGGTCATAAACGATGGTTGACATTAGCCATAAAGACAAAGCACGCTGGTGCTCCCCGTAGGAGACACCTGGCCTACACGCTCGCATTCTGGGATGCTGTATCCCATATTCTGGTAGTTCATAATTTTTGCAGTATCTAAATACCAGCTGAATAATTTTTTTAAATGGACTCACTTTCCTTTATTTAAATAAATGAATTTTAAAAGGAAACCGTGCTTCCAGACCATAAGGGAAACAACTACCACTTGATATAAACAGGAGGGAACGATGAGGCACATTAACACCAAATATGTCCATCTGTGTAACATTTAAAATTATCTCACATAGGAATTGTATTCTGGACCAAGGAAATCTTTTCACAGCCCCACCTGAGCAAGCGCCAGCAGAGCTCTCTGGGGAGCAATGCTGGGCCATGAGCCTTTGTCATCAGCAAGAGTTAAGCTACCAGGGGGGCCATTTTAAGCTATCCATTGGCTGCAACCAGTTAGGAAAAGAAGGTGCCCATCTTCGCAAGTGGCCACCTGGACTTAAAAAAAACAACTCTGACCTATTCATTATCCTCAGCCCAAATTACCCTTTGCAGTCTACTTGCCTGACTCAGGACTCCATCTCCAGCCAGTAAATGCTTTCACGTGAGAAATTAGGTCTTGGAGGATGTACAGAGCTGGCAAGCATTAGACTATTTCGTGACTTTGAAATACACACTTGAGGGATAGAGTCATGCAAAGAAAGGTTCGTAATGGAGGGGAATCAAGCAATGGATTGGAGCTGGGGCTGAGGGGCCAGGATGTGAACTGGATGATCAGGCATTTTCTAGTCCAAGGTGCCCGGGTTCAAATAAAAACCGTAACTACAAAGGCAAGAGGATTAAGCAATCTTTTAGTGAGTCCTTGACTTCACTTGGATTTCTTCAAAAGCAGACCCTGTAAGCTTTTGGGTGCAAGTAATTTATTTGGGAAGTGATCCCAGGAAATAGACCGAGGGAGTAGGGATGGGAAAGGGGGAAGAGATGAAAGCCAATGAAGGGTGCCTTAATGAGCAGGTTACCGCTAGAGCAATCTGGGCTCAGTCCCCCTGAGGACTCTGAGATAGTGTAGAGAACATACCTCAGGTTGCCTTACTGAGGAGCGGCCCTCAGTCCCTGAGGATAAAGGTGGCAAGGAAGCCACGATCTTTATCCTCACAGACTGAGGGGCACTCCTGAGGCTTTAATTCCCTGGGGCATCTGGGCCTGCAGGCAGAGGCTGAGAAAGTTGTCCTCAGGTGACCCCCAAGGTAGGCCAGAGAACTAGTCACCATGGTCTGCTATAGTCAAGTACAAATGCATCCAAATTAAAAAGAAAAAGGAATCACAGCCTCTACACAGGAGAAGTGAGTGGGGAATTTGCAAGTGGCCAAAGTCCAAAAATGTATAACACTTAATCACACAGAAGGATTCCCCACTCATATGGCAAGACAAAAACACAACTTTTCCAAATGCGTAATGAAACAGAAAAAGCGGAAGGCCAAAGGGAGAAGTGAGAGTTGGTGGGGAGGCGGTGATGCAGGGTGAAGGGAAGATCGGGACTGTCGGACGAGGTAACGTGTGGTGCTGACAGTGCCCCCGGCCTTCCTGCCTGGATTCTCCCCAAGGTGAAGGACCGAAGCCAGAGACAGAAATAAATTTTTCAGGAAAGAAAGGAAATGCTGTTGGAATCGAGAGCCTCCAAAGCATTAATAGAAGTGAAATATTGGGAGAAACCTGATTTCAGATGTCTAACCCTTTAGTAAACTCCTCCATCCACCGTCTCCTTGGCCACCATCCTCTCTATTCACATGGAAACCAGCCAAGAGAAACTGTCCCAGAAAGATGTTCTTTGATGTTTTAATATTCTGATTCTCCAGTACACATCCTCACATGAGCGGGCACAAGGGATTCCCGAAAGAAGCCCCAAGTTTGTTTAAATTTTCTCAGCTGCTCTGTGACTCTTTCGTGACCCCAACTGGAAGATTTTTCCAGACCTGGATAGAAAGTCCCAAAGGCGGGCAGAAGGCATTGTTTCTGGGAACATTCTGAGAATGGCTAAAGACCTGGACCCAAGAAGCATCAAGACTGTCTTGTATTTTTTCTATTTCTGTCTTGTCTTTCCCTTTCTCTCTGACACAGGAGGCCTTGTCTTGTGCCATTCAGATTCCCTGTGCACAGAAAAGTCCCTGTCATATGACAGGTGATGTGAATGTTTGTCGAATTGACCTAAGCCAGACAACTAGAGGAAGCTAAGTGAGGAAGAGGGGGCACGGGGCCCTCTGGGTGCTGCCGGCCTGATAGCCAGGTCCACTCTGGTCTTGCTAAGCTCCTCAGGAGCAGGAAGGAAGGAGGGAGATGCCCAGTTCTGAGGCCTGTATCAGGCAGTAGGGACTTAGGCATGGGATGGAAGTCCATAGTCTGTCTCGTCTGTCTTGAAGTAAAGCTCCAGAGAACCTGTGACCTGCAGGTAGCAGAAGGGTTGTTTGGGTCCTGGTGTTTCAGGAGACCCCCAGGCTGGAAGGAAGAGAGGGTTCAGAGTCTGGCTTAAAGCATGGGGCTCCAAGGGCCAGACTGGGAGAAAGAGGAGGCTGGTGAGTTAGCTGGGTGGGAAGGAACAAGTGAAAGTCAGACTTGGCCTGGGAGCTGGACTGAGCAGAGGCAAAGTCTGCTGAGGTCCTGGGTAGGGGGAGCTAAGCTGAAAGGTTTGCATTGGAAAGGCAGGGCTATGGGTACCCTGGGTAGGAAGAGACGGCAGAGGGCCTTGGGCCCTTCCAGATTCCCGAATCTGGGAGAAGGCTGCTTCAGGCTTCGAACAGGCTCAGGTACTAATAGTGGGTACCACTGGGCCTGGCTGAGGCCTATTTGCCAGGGCAAAGTGTAGGAACTGCTACATGTACAGCACTCCACGGGAATCCACTTATAAGGATGACAGCAGCCATAGGCATGTGCCCTGTATTTACAAGAGCCTTTCACCTTCACCATCTCATGTGACTCTCCCATTCTCCACAGGAGAGGCATCAGTTCTATGCCCAGAAGCCTTAAGTGGATCCCCCAGAAATTACAAGCTGGTAAGTGGCAAAGCTGAGAGTCTTTCAAACCTCAAACCCTGGGCTCTTTCCCAAATCTAACAAGAGGCTAATTTCATCAGTACACAGAAAGCAGGAGCTGATGACCACGGGTGGGGGTTCAATAGTTGTTTGTTAATGGACTCTGTGAAAGGCCAGAAAGATGGTGGCAGGTGGCAGATTTGGGAGGGGGCAGAACCACGGGGTTGAACCATGCTAGGGGCATAGGGAGGGGAGGATACTGGCCTACCCAGCAAGGGAAGGGGGCCAGGCATCGGAAAAGCCACACTCAGGACACCTTCTCTCTCTCCCTACAATGAGCTGCCTGCCAAGGGGGCCTACTGACTAAAATCCCCTCAGCTGAGAAGTGTCGCTGAGACCTCTGGCTTGGGTTTCCGGCTGGCATTTCTGAGCATTTTAAGTTAGTAGGCTCAGGGTAGAAAGGGCAGTGACTGGAAGACATTTTATTATTTCCGTGACAGTGGGGACAATCTGTATTTGCATGAAATTGCCTGGCCCCCTTGTTTCTGTGACCAAAACTTCAGCAACAGAGATGCCGAGGGAAGGACAAGACAAGAATGTTGGAGGCCAGGAGAGAAGTGACAGGTGGACATCTGGCGACACCTTGATAACCTTTCCTTACACTCGCCTTCCCCACCCATCCTATTTATGACGAATGAAGAAAACATGCTCCCTATAGACAGAAATGCCTCACAAGGACTGTTCACAGGGCTGTCCCTGTGCCTGCTCAGGTGATCTCTGCACAGTGAGGCCATCAAACCAACAGGAAATTCCCCTAGACTAGGAAATAAAAGTCAATGAGCAAGAAGAAAACCATATGATGGGCCGCGCAGGGACCTGAGAGGGCAAGGGGAGCATATCCTCTGGACTGGAGCCCGCAGGGATGGGAAGGGGGCGGCCTGCCCTGTTTCCAGGTGAGGAATTCACTAGCAAGCCCTATCTGAGCAGTGGCAGCCTAGACCGGCTTCCCCAGGCCTCCTATAAAGGAAATAAATTAAACGAGGAGAAAGAAAGGGAAGGAGGGAGACTCCCTCTGGACTTTTTTTAATTGTCTTTCTGTGATTGCCTATTTAAGCCCACCTGGCAGAAAGAGGAGTAAAAACACTTCACCCTCCTTAGGGGGCCCTGAGAGAAAGGCAAGCTGAAAGCTGAGCAAGCAGCACGGAGGGGAAGCTTGGAGGCGGTGCTTGTGGGGTGCAGGGCGATGGTACGAGGAAAAGACAAGACTTCCCAGGACAAAGATTAGGAGAGAGGCTGCAGTGGATGAAGGCTATGACCAATGTGGACAGGGTCTCTGGACATCCAGCCTTCAGAGAGGCTGAATACTCGAGCTACGAGATAAAATTTAACTCTGTGAGGGCATGGAAGGTGACTCCTTATCTGTGAAATGGGCATAATAACAGCATCTTCTGTCATAAGGCTGTTGGGAGGTTCAATCAAGATGACACATAGGAAGAACGTAGAACAGTTCATTTAGAGGGTCACCACCATCACGACTGTTGTCTGCCCATCCCCCACGAGACCATGCATGGCCACTAAGTAACCCCTGTGTGTTCATTCAATGATTAGAAAAAATCCAAAGGCTCATTTATTTCACAAAAGAGGAAAAAAGATAACAATGAGCTATCTAAATTTCAGAGGCCTGTAGCCTCCTGAACAGAGAGATAAGGGCCAGCCTCATGTGCAGATGGCAGACAGACCACTAGTGAGATTGGGGGGAGGTGCTATCACACCCTCTAGAGCTGAAATTCCCATCCGCTGTAGGGCTGACCACCTTCAGACACCCATTAGCCCGTATTCCCCAGCAGGAACTGGTTTTCTAGTAGAGAAGAGAGACTTGAGGAAATGATACATGGGCCAAAACACACTGGGTGTTCAGGGGTCTTTGAGTGTTCAGTGATGGGGGTGGTCTTCGGGTAAGGAAGGTGAACAGCCACAGGGCAGCGGAAGGGGGAAAGGGTCTGTTCTAGGACAAATCTTCCCAGTTAATTCTCCCTGGGGTTATCCTCAGAAGGCAGGAAGTCTGGAAGGGTATGTAGAGAAAGGTAGATTCTGGAACAGGACAGACCTAAAAGCGGAGGGGAACCTCAGTGTTAACTGCTTCTGTTCTTAAAGCCAAGGCTCTATGCAACGGTGGAGATCAATGGCCAGGACGGCTGAACCTGTCTGTACCCCAATAATAACAGCTCGCACTCAGAGTCTAGCAGTGCTGAGTGCTTTAAATGTACATCTCATTTAACTTTTCATCAAGAAACTGTTGTTCTATCCCTGTTTTACGGGATAAGATGCTGAGACACAGAAGGGTATCTTGCCCAAGACTGCCTAGGTAGAGGGTGGCAGACTGCAGTGTGGACGCAGTCTGGGTTCTTAACCACCACGCTACCTGTCTCTCTGCAACTCCTGTCCCTTCCTCCTGGGGGGCCTATGCCTGCCCTGAACCCTTACCCTCTCAAGCCTCTGGACTGTAGAGAAGGGATCCAAGGTGGCCCATCTTCCTTCTCAGGATTCAGAGCACACACACACACCCAGTGCGACAGCAATGAGCAGGTGGAGGTTTCTGGAATAAGACTTGGACCCTCATTAAGAGGCACACAAAGGGTCTAAATGTGATCTCACTTCTAGCTACTCTGGAAGAAGCAGAAGTCTACCCCAAACAGCGAAAATCCCCACAGATGAAGAGCTCTACTTCAGTACATATTTAAGGATCCAGGCCTCGATTAAACAGTAATCCTAATATATCCCAGAACGGAGGCAGCGCCAATCTCTCCTTCCAAATCGACTTTGCAAATAAGTCCCCAGAATGAACCATCCCACAATTTTCTTTTCAGGAAGTACTGACATTAAAAAAAAAAAAAAATTATTTAATCTTCTTTTCTATTCTCAAAGTACGAACTATTCCTCATCATTTATTTAAGGCTAATTTCAAGAATTAGTAAATAAATAATAACATTAATTAGAGAGATGATCCAAAATGGCTAAAGAGAAAGGCCTCCTAAGGCCTAGAGGTTGCTTCCTGTCAGTCTTGTTACTTGTTCACTTTCTAAAGACTAGAAGAGGCCACACAGCTCACATAAGTACCTCGCAGGAAAAGACTAGATGCTAGATTTCCTGGACAAAGAAGAAAAAAGGAACTATGGGGAAACGAAGAGAAACGTTGCTCCTTATAGACCGAGGGCCTCAGTAAATCTTGTTAGTCTGTGAGAGTATTATTTGGAAGACCAAGTAGAGAGGTGAATGGGGATGGTGGCCGAGCCTGCCCGGGTTCACATGCCAGATCTGCCCATTTCCAACCTGGGCACAGATTTACTCTCCCAACCTCAGTTTACTCAGCTGTAAAACAGGCGATGACATTAAAGATCACCCACATCCAAGGGCTATAGGGAGAATTAAGAGATCAATCATGTAAAATGTTTATTGGTACAGGGCCTGGTTCACAGGAAGTATTAATATATGTCAGCTATTATCGCTGTTGCTGTGTTGTTATTTGAAATCCTCAAACTCAAGCGCATGCTCTAATGGCCATTATAATGTGATTAAGAGGATTCGCATATTGGTGGCCTCTCCTTGGCAGAGTATTCTCTCATGGTGTCAATCTGTCAACTACATAAACTCCCCGAAACCGGGTTATTTATCACCTAGTGAGTTGAATCGCCACTTTCCTGCACAGTCTGTCCTCAAGTGGCTTTCCTGATTTCTTTCTTTAGGCAGATATTCAAAATAAGCAAACCCGGAAGTGCAGTGTACGTTGTGCATTGGTGCCGGCACGTTTACACTTCCTGTGTTAGAGCAAGGTAATTCAAAGGCAGTGCAAGAGCGTGGGGGACAAAATAACTCGCATTCTAGAATCCACTTCAAACATGACATTGTGGAGCAACTGCAAGTCAAATTCATGTGGTTCTGCCCTCCCAGGAAGTCACAATTTCAGTAAGTAAACAGTTGGGAGGCCCAGAAAATAGCGTGATAAAGTTTCTCCTGCTTCATGGACTGCTGACTCTACATCTGATTCCATTTCTTTTTCCTCAACTGCCATGGGGGATTACTGAAAAGCTGATAGCCTCTCTTCAAGCGGGTCAAAAGTCCCTGTGCTGACATACTTACTTCCTGAGAGTGGCTCCTCACGTACTTCTGATGGGTCACTGTCTGGTCCATCCAGATTCTTGCTCACCCTGAGCGGTGAAAATTCTGCAGCATCCCCCTCTTCCAAGGGCAAGCTGGGTTGCTCAGCGATGGGTGCCTCCCCTCCGGGGCCCTGGCTTGGCTCTGGGCTTCCGTCCATCTCTTCTGGAGTGCCAGGGTTCTCATTATCCCCAACTCTGCCAGGCTCCTTTCTCAAATCTCTGGCATCCGCCTTGGGATTGCTGCCTGCTGAGTTCACAGAGCAGTGATACTGAGGTATGATGCCAACAAATTTTAGGCCTCTACTCGCAGCCTCCTGGATCTGTGAGGCAAACAAAAGGAAGGGAACCAAGTGAATGGGATGTTCCATCAAAGGGAGGACACATGCAACATCCAAAACGCCTCACTGGAGGCCTTTGAGGATATTTCTGTTAGACCATGAAATCCATCAAGCTGGCAGAGGCTCCATATCCTCTAGGCAGTGCCCACACCCCATCCCAGGACCGACTGAAAACAGACAGTATGGGGCTTGTTTTTTCTAACTATGGAAAAAATAAAGCATTTGGCTATGAAGGACTGGGATCACTTCTCTCTGAAACACTGCATTAGTCCCTATTAGGTTTTTGTTTTTGTTTTTGTTTTTTGTTTTTGTTTTCTTGAGACTGGAAAAAGGTTCTAAAAGGATGAGCTGGAACAAAGAGAGTTTGAAAGAGGAAGTTCATTTCGGTAAGAGTTTATTTTTTTCATTGTTTTTTTTTTTTCTCTGATGAATCACCTACTTCCTGCCAATCAGGCTACTGTATAATCTAGTATGTCTATATAACCATATAGTAACTACAAGATAGCATTTTATGACCCAAAGAGCTTCCTCTTTTAAACAATAGTTTTGGCAGAGAAGAGCAGAGGTGGGGGAAATCACCACTGTGTGGAAGCTGATGCACATGTCCCGCAAGAGGGGACATCCTACAGACACCTGCTCCGTGGTGCTCTCAGTCCCAGGTAGAGCAGGAGGAACCCAAAGACCACACCTTGCTCACAGACATTGCCTGGGCAGACTTGTGACTCTGCAGGCCATGGTACACACCATCCAGTTCCTGAACCTATGAGAAGGGAGCCTAAGGGCCACATGGAGTACCGTGGCATTTGAACTCTCCTCTCCCTAAAAAATTTCCCCCAGACAATTGAATATAGTAGTCATAAGCAAAAGAAAAACTGAAAATAATAGCCTACTAAAATCAAGCAAGAGTCAGCCAAAACTAGAAAATGGGCTTTAGGGGATTTTCTGGTCAAGGATGCTCAAATAAATCAGGAGGTAGAGACCTCGGAGCCGTGTAAGTCTTAGTCACCCACCCCCTAAAAGGATGACCTCAGAAAATCCTGAGGTCTCTACAGTGATCATCTCCTGTCATTTGAGAGTTAGTATTAAATACCAGCATGGAGCTACTCTCTCTAAGGGAGAAGCAAGCCTTGGCTCTTCCTTGGGTGAACCACCCTAACTTTAACCAGAAGGTCATTTTAGCTCAACACCACACATTCTAGAAAATAATCTAGAGCAGCTGCAAATGTGCAGTGCAGTCTTTCTACAAAGTCTAGCCTGTGCTAGATACAATGATAACAATTAGCAATATAGGTGGTAATTACTACTAATTAGTAGTAATTACCACCTATTGCAGACCTACGACACGACACGCAAGGCACTGCTCTAGGCACTGCACATAAATTGTTTTGTTTAATCCTTCAAAAACCCCGCATAGATAGTATCATTATCTCCATTTCGTATGAGGACACTGAGGCCCGGAGACATTAAATCATAAAACAAGCAGTGAGTAACCAGGGTTCAATGCCACGTTGGCTCCGTTTGCAGATGTAGCTCAAGTACATTCTTTTAACCACAAGACCAAGTGGATACATCTCAAGGCATCGAATATGTACATGTTCTTGGACATGTATGTGTTCACACATATGTTCCTGGTTGGCTCAATCCACTCTTCAAAAGTTAAATAAACCTCTTAAAGTCATCCTTTCCATTCCAAAAATTTATTTTTCACTCAGTAATCTGTGATATACATCTACTTTTAGAAATAATTTTGAAAAACTTATAAAAGAAGACACAGGTAACAAAAGTTTTAAGAAGGTAGGGAAGGCTAGAAGTATGGGGAGAAAATTATACCAAGGAACCTTAGATTAGGAGAAACTACTACATATAAAGCATCATTCTGAGCTTCCTGGTAACACAGGCAAAAAGAGAAAGTCAAATAGATTTTACAGTCCTCAAATGAAATGAGAGAACATGCCCAGTCAATAAGAGAGAAGCATAATTTGCTGATGAGAAACAGAGAAATCTGTTAAATGATTCTTGTAGAGATATGTATCTTTAGTTTTACTGAAAATGAAGACTTTTTTTTTATACCAGTTATATATTCTTAGCCCTTGATAGAAGGTGAAGACATTATGCTAAAGCACAAATCTCTGAAAGTCCTATGTGGAGCTAAAGTGAAATAATCCAGGTAACTGACAGATACGGACAGCTGAAACATATGGCAGCATTCTAAATTGTGTCAGAGCCTGGGAACTGGGCCATTTTAGTACTTACTTCCCAAGTTCCCATTGCAGTGGAGTAAGATGGCTTTTCTCTAGTCTTAACTGTTTGTGAAATAATGCTGCCTATGCTTGCTTCTTCAGAAGGATTCGGGAAGACTGGCTTTTCATTTAGTTTTAAATACAGTATGCAAATTCTTGAGCCACTGTAAACCAAAACCAAACGTCCACAAATGTCTACATTTGAGAAAATAATATTAACAATTTCCAGATATAGCTCCTACAGGAAGGACAATGAGCTATTTCCACTCAAACTGAAGACCTCTGTTTCAGCTATCAAGCCCTTTACATTCAGTCTGGCTTTCTCCTTAGTAAACTGCAAGTCCAAGCCTCTCCGTTTATGCCATGCTTGAGAAAGAGGTACACTGGCCCCCGCTATTAGTGTCTTACCACAGAGGGAGCACCTATGACTGCTGAAACATTTAAAGAACTGGTCCCACTGAGGGGTTAAACACAAGCCAGTCTCAACTTGAGTCATGGGGTTTGAAGGTGGAAAGGCCTGGCTTGGAACTCCAGGTGTGTGACTTACTGGCCTGGGGAACCAGAGTAGTTATATAAGCTTTGTCTCAGTTTTCTCACCTGTAAAATGAGGGCAATCATACTTTCCTTGCAGCTGCTCTGAAAATTAGACATTCTATATGGCAAGTGTGCCAAAGGACAGGGCAAAGAAAAGGTGCTTGCAGCCATCATTACTGCTCTACTCTCGCTCTTTATCAGTCCCAGGCTTCCATGACCATGAAAGAGTGCTGAGAATCATCTAGAGTAAGGAGGTGAGGACTCCGGACATGGGGCACTATCCTAGCCCTCTCCTTCCTCACTGGGACCTGAAGAATCAGAAAGGCTTTGATATAAATTAGACATGTGCCCTTTTCCCATGACACACTGGACAATCATATTTCTTTGCCCTACTGTACTGCAAACTTATCCTCCATGCCAGGGGTTCTTAAAGCGTGGTCGCATATTAGCAGCACCAGCATCACCTGGGAACTTGTTAGAAAAGACCTGCCGAATCAGAAACTCTGAATCAGAAACTCTGGGCGTAGGGCCCAGAGATATGCATTTTGGCAATCTCTCCGGGTGATTCCGATGTTCTCTAAAGTTTGAGAATCACTGCCCTAGAATATACATTCATGAGGGCAGGGGTTCTGTGCAGTGCTGTGTCCCCAGTATTAGAATATCTGACATCTAGTAGGTGCTCAATAAGTTTTTGTAGAATAAACAAATGAACACATAAATAATGAGTAAATATGTATCTCTCCTCTCCCAGAATGAGCTCTTTGAAGTCAAGAATAGAGAATGATTAATTTTTCAGCTTCAGAATTCAATAAAAATTTTATTAAGTCCCTACACTGGCCCAGACCAACACTGTGCTTAAATGCTAGAGATACAAAATAGGAATCCAATTCTCAAGAAGATTAAGCCAATTATTATAAACAGACTTTAGAAATAATTACACTAACATGGCACAATAATGCTTATATTATAATGTTATCTAAAAATCAAGATTCTAAACTTATGATACAATTATGATAGTATATACTATTGCTATTTGTGCCTAATGTTAAAAAATTTATCTAATGAGCATGCACGCTACTTTTAAAGTTGAAAAAAGTAAGTATTTCAAAAATTTCTCATAGCAGGTGATAAATTTTTCGTATCTGGTGAAAAATTTCTCATAGCAGGTGATAAATGCAGTGATGGACATGAGAGTATAGAAATGACAGGGATGAAAGTGATTATTTCTGCCTGAAGGGGAGGCTGAGAAAAGTTTCGCACAGAAGGTCAGGGCTACAACACATGAAATGGAGTAATACAATAGGAAGAGGTGGGGGGTACAGCAGAATTGGAGTGTGTATGCCTTACCTTAACCAATCAGATTTGATTCCCCCCACCCCAAACATTGTGTTAGACAAAACCTATTTGGAAACCAATTCTGCAGGAGCCTTTGAAGGGTGAACAGAAGTTTATCATGCAGGTGAATGAATGGGAGAAGGGCAATGCAGGTAGAGAGAAGGAAGGATCACTGTGGGCAAAGGCTTAGTGGTGTGCAACAGCCTGACGTATTGAAGAAACTTCTAGAAATATTTCTAGAA